GGCACGTGACCAAAAAAAAAAAAACAAGAAAGAAGAAACGGCCATGTGCCTGACTGAACTGCTAGAAAAACCCAGCCCGAGTTTCAAACTGCTAAAAGTAGTTTCAACTGCAATTGAAACTCGGGCCCTGACTAAACTGCAAAAACGCAGTTCCAAATGCAATTACGAACTGTAACCCTGACTGCGCCGTAGTTTTCTCTTTTTTTGTTTTTGGCCCGGCCGGGCAAGTGACCCCGGGCCACTCTGGTAGCCTAGGAGAAAAGCTGTTTCTAGCGTTTTTTTTTTTTCAGTTTTTTAATTTCTTGTTTCAAATTTATTAATGTCGAAATGGTGCCTTTTTTTTCCCTTTAAATGGAACAATGCTCCAATCTATTCTTGGGGAGCAACAGGTGCTGGGAACTGGGCTTGTCACACCCTTGCGTTTTCTAAACTCAACTTGGGTGGTGGGACTTCACCCCAGGTTCGTTAACCTCACGTGCAATCTTGGCTGGGCTTTTTTTTCTTTATTTCTTTTTTTTTTAGCGTGACCGTCTAGAGATGTAGGGCCTCATTTGACACCACTAGAGAATTGGGGAAATAAGGGTATCGTTGCTCCACCCCTCCCTAATCACGATGCAAATGAAATCCGATGTGTTTTCACATTCCCGACCGTGAGGGTGGGCCCTACAAAAGTAAGTGCGCCCCAGCCAAAAAGGTCCTTATCGTAAGTGTGGCCGTGGAGGTCACTTGAAAATGAGGGGGGGCACCTTTACAGCCGCACGAAAAAGGGGATTTCTTTACAGCGCGTGCACACACGGGCCATTTTGCAGGCCCGACAGCGTTCAGGCCAAAAGCCTGAACTTCAGGCCGAAAGCCTGAATTTCAGGCTGAAAGCCTGAAATCCAGGGCTTACAGGCCCCCTGTCGGTTCAGGCCAAAAGCCTGAAGTCYAGGGCCTATCCCTGGTCGTTTCAGACTAAAAATGGCAACAGCCTTTTTAGCCTGAAACGAAGGGCCATTTTCGGTCGTTCATCAGAACGACCGGCCCTGAAACTCAGGCACGGAACCAGGGTTTCGGAAACAGACTATTATTAGTCTGTTTCCCACGCCAGCCTCAAGCAGGCTGCTGCACGCCAGTCCCTGGCACATTTCGGCATTGGCAAGAGCTGCCTCCTCGGCCTGACTGCCCTCCAGTAGTCAGGAGGCAGGCCGAGGTAGTACATAGGACTTCCCAGGCACTTCCGAGGGAGGCAGTTGGTAGTTGTAGTCTTCAAGATTCGGGTGCAGCACTCTGGAGGGAGCGCTGCGTTGTAGTAGTGGTAGCGTTAGCTAGTAGTCTTCAGCGCTGGGCGCAGTAGGTAGCTGTAGTCTCCAGTGCTGGGCGCCATAGCTAGGTAGTACTAGAG